GAGGGCAGTGTCACTGGCCCTCATATGTGGGATCCGAACCGGGGCCCTCCGGCGTCCCAAGCCAGTTCTTAACCATCGTGCCACTCGGCCGGCCCGGGATGGGAAGTTTTAAAACAATCTTCACTTCCTCTTAGAAACTCCTTTCGTACTTTTCCTAAACATTTCCATCTATTCTAACCTGTTCTTAACATTACACATGAATTCAGAAGGTTACCTTCTTTGATCTTACTTAATTGCTTTTTCCTTAATAAAATGAATAGTATTTTTCAGTTAAATTGTCAGAAAACATGAAGGCATCTTCCTTTAAAAAACTGCAGAAGGTGAGTCAAGCTTATGATCCCTAGGATCCTTGGTTTGATAAGTGAATGACCTACCTACCTCAGGGCAGTCCTGGTTAGGGCACTTGAAATTCCCTCAGTATATCACCAGTGAACCTCTTAAATTGAAATAGCCTATACTTCAGACATTGAATTTGTCTTCAAGAGTATTTATTTAATACAGATTCTCAGAAAGCATTCTTTGCTCATATTAGCAAATTCTGTAACTGCTAGAGTATGTTTTATAGTTTATGTAAAACTCGAAAAACCTTGCACAATCAAACATTCTAAGTAAAACATTAAATTATAAAACTTACATTATTTGGGAGAAGTCAGATGTTAAATGATTTTACAAATATTTGAGTAACATGATACATACTATGAAAGAAATACAGGTTGCTATGAGAATGTTAGTAGTGGGCTTTCTGCGGAAATGAGCTTGGAGGTGAGACCTGAAAAGTTGACTAGTAGTTATTCCCAAACCTGGCTGCCCATCAGAATTATCTGAGGGAGCTTTTAAGATGTATTTCTGGGCCCAACACCTAGAAATTTGACTCAGTAGGTCTCAGGTAGGGACCAGGATTCAGGTTTGAAAAGGAAAGCTGGATAACTTTGATATAGTTAGGCTAGCACTTGGGGACCCCTGCGCTAGTCAGAGGAGCAGGAAGTGCATTAAAGTGGAGAAACAGTGTGTGCAAGTCTCTGAGACAGAAGGATCTGAAAAACATGGCGGTATAGTTTAGACGTTGACCATTTAGTAGGAGAGGGGAAGTTGTGAATTAAGACTAGAGGGGCAGGCAGGCGCTAGATTACTTAAGGTTTTCAGGTCATGGGAAAGAGCTACTTTAGTTTTAGTTTTGTTTTTAAATATTAGGAAAATATAGTTCAATGTATACTTCAAAAGAGCACTGGAAAAATAAAAGCACCCTGGAAAAGAGTCCTGTATGTGAAGTGGCCAAGTTGGAGGCTGCTGCATTAGTCCTGAAGAGATGTTTTGGACTAGGACTGTGACAGTGGAAATGGATAAAAATGGATGATTTATGAGAGAGAGGGGAAGTAGGATAGGTCTTGGTAATTGATGAGCTGTTGAAGTTGAAGTAAAAAATGTCACCACCTTTCAGATGTCTGATTTCAGCATCTTTGTGGATGGTGTCACCATCACTGAAATGGGCAACACTGGAGAAGAAGGGAATTGGGGGAAGAGAATGAGTCAGTTTTGAACATAATGAGTTTGAAGAACCTGTGAGATATTCACATAGGAGCTCAAAGGAAGAGTGCGCTAGAGATGGAATTGGGCAGTTGTCATTGTACAGATAGTATATGATACAGTCTAGGAAGAAAGAATGAGAGGAAAAGAGCTTTGGGCACCTCCTAAATTTATACATCTGTTAGTGGAGACTGAGAAGTAACTGCCAATAAAGAAGAAGGCAACCAGGAGAGTGTCATAAAAATGGTATCACAAGTGCTCTACTTTGGCAAAATGCTGTTGCAAAGTGTATATTGGATTTAGCAACATGGAGGTCATCAGGTCCTGGCGCCAATGGCGTGGTGGGCCCAGAAGTCAGGTGGGATAGCAGGTGAGATGGAAGCACCGCTTTGTTGCTAGCACATGGCGCCTGGCTGGAGAAACCCTGACATGTACTCGCTGGGAACTTGCACTGGTGCCTGTGGGCCTAAGAGCTGGGCTTCTCATTTGGTGACCTGGAAAAAAGAATTTGCCTGTAGTAGCCACTTATATTTGACCTGGATGCCTGCCTTTGCTCACAGCGTTATTTATTTGGGTTTGGGGGAGGGGGATATTTAAGTTTTGTTTTTTTTTTTTTTTTTTGGCTGAGCCATCCTGCCACCTTTTGGCAGCTCAGTGGCAGCTCAGCTCAGGTCGGGCATCGAACCGCTGTTGCTCAGAGCTCAAACTCTTGAACGAGCTCTTAACCAACTGAGCTACTTGACCGGCCCTGTGAGGGGGGTATTTAAATGACAGATACTAAATTGGTACATTGTACCTCTTGTTTCTAGATCCACTGTTTAGATTCAGGCTGTCTCTATGCAGACTAGATTATTATAATAGCCTCTAAACCAGTGGTTCTCAACCTTCCTAATGTCGCGACCCCTTAATAGAGATCCTCATGTTGTGGTGACCCCCAACCATAAAATTATTTCCGTTGCTACTCTATAACTAATTTTGCTGCTGTTATGAATCGTAATGTAAATATCTTTTTGTTTTCCGATGGTCTTAGGCGACCCCTGTAAAGGATCGTTCGACCCCCAAAGGGGTCGCGACCCACAGGTTGAGAACCGCTGCTCTAGACCAATGCTGTCCAATCGAATTTTCTGTGATGATGGAAATTTCTGCCCAATATGGTAGTCACTAGCCATTTGTAGCTTTTGTGCACCTCAAATGTGGCTAGTGTGACTCAGGAACTGAATTTTTAATTGTTAATCTGTTTAAATCTAAATAGCCACATGTGGCTAGTGGTTGCCATATTGGACAGTGCAGAGCTAGCCAATATTTTTGAGAGGATGGGCTTGGAAGGGCACAAGAGTGATAAAGTGATAGCTAAAGAGAGATTCAGCCATCTTGTTATAAGTAATACATTATAATTTTGAAACCCTCATGTGTGTTTTGTATGAAATAATGAAATATACCCATTATATTTCATTATTGTGAAAAGAGGCCTCTTCAACCGTAAATATAGGGTGGGTTTAGTTTCTACATTTAAATCCTTCATTACTTTCTATGTTCAGTAAGAAGTTACTGATTTGATCCTTTATTAAAGTCTTGAAATAGCGAGTATGTTAATGCTTTATTTTGGATTTAACTCTAAATTTTAATACTTTTTTCTTATGGCAGTTCTGTTGAGTGAAAATGTAGTTAATTTTTGGAAGGCATTATCTATTTCTAAGGAGACATGAGATTAATTGGTCTTGGTTTCTGTTTATATGCATGTAATGCCTATTGTGTGCCAAAGTTTAAGTGCTTTATGTACATTACTTTTTTGAGCCTCACAAGGACCATGTGAGGTAGGTACCTTATTACTTTGATTTTACAGATCAGAGAACTAAGGCACAAAGAAACGTAAGTCCTTGCCCAGAGCCTACACAGTAGTGTGTAGTAGGGTTGGAATTTGAACCCAGGCTATTTTGAGTTTAGTGTGTAGGTTCTCAGTGATTACATTATATTACCCCCAAGTCATCACACTAATTTTTTCTGCTATACTTCCAGTTTTATATAGATCCATATAAGCTGCTGCCACTGCAGAGGTTTTTACCTCGACCTCCAGGAGAGAAGGGACCTCCAAGAGGCGGTGGCAGGGGCGGTCGAGGAGGAGGCAGAGGAGGAGTTGGCAGAGGTGGTAGAGGTGGTAAGTTATTTGCGGGAGTAATTTTCTAATGAGATTTTAAAAGTTGCAGCTCATTCATATAGTGCAGTTAAATTTTGTGTATAGGCGCACCTCCTTTATGTATGTTTATTTATTTAGTAAAGCTATTTTCAGATTGCCATAGTAATAATGCTTAGTTTCAATCTTATTTAAAAAGAAAAACCTAATGAAGTATAATTTGAGGGATTTCATCTCTGGGTTATTCCTATTTTATTGGGAATTTTATAAAGTATAAGATCATAACTGAATTTAGTATCATTGAGGGTTGACTGTGTGCTGAGAGCTGGTCACGTATTCTCTTAATATCCAAGTATATTCTTCTAATAGCAAAACCTTGCAAGGTAGATGCTATCCTTATTTTATGGATGAGGAAATGGAGGCTTACAAAAGTTAATTTGCCCTAATCAAACAATTGGCGGCTCAGAAATCAAATCTTATGTCACGTCAGAGACCATTAGCAATAAATTAATTGCTCTGAGTTCAGTCTTTTGACATAAGTATTTCCCCAGAGCTTCGGTGTGTTCCTCATTGTGGGCAGTAGGTGATGAGCAGGGTTGGGATGAGGTCAGGAGCAGCACTGGGCAGGCTTAGATAGTGAATGGTGTGGGTGGGTGACCAGAAGATGGGCAGAGCCGAAGGGGTAAGGAAGAGGAGTTGAGAATTGGGCTTGGAAAGCTTCTGTAACTGGGTCAGAAAACAGAGAACTGTTTTCACCTTTGCCTTTCTCAATTTAAATATCATTTCAGTCCATAAATATACTTCTCTTGGGTCTAGATAGTTAGGAAATACTCTTTGAACAGATCTGAACATATTTCTTTCTTAAATATTCTTGGGAGTATTCCTTTGAGAATTTAATGAATTCCCCTCATTCCTCATATATATAACATTAAAAAATGCACAACTGTAGTCTATTTTTTAAAAACCTTTATATTTTTATACCAGTATTTTGGAAGTGTATGTTTGTTTCATTTTACAGTTTCTTCTTTTATAATTCATCATTCCATACAAAGTTCGCCCCCAAAATAACATAAAAATGAAGAATGAAATAGGAAGCCGATATGTGTTGGATAAAAGAAAAACACTTTAAAATTTTAAAATTTCAGGACTCGTCAACATGTGTGTCAGTCACGGTCCATGTGCAGCTTCGTTTACCCCAAACATTGTGTTTATTGTAGCAGCCCCAGAGCAAAACCACCATGTCGCCTACCCTTGTTCTTAGGATAAAAGCCTTTGTTCAATCAAAAGAGAATTGACCATAACCAAAAGCTAAGGCACTCATACATTAACAGTAGGGCTAAATCCAACTTGAACGTAACAAGCTTCTCTAAGTCATTAAAACAGAATCCGTGTTTAAAAAGGTGTAACCTAGGGCTTTTAGCCTGCTGCTCAGTTGGGAAACGACTACAGTTTCTCCATTTTTATCTTCTAAAAAATTCTGCAAGATAAAATAATGTATGTGTTTATTATTCTTTATTATGTAGGAATGGTGTTGCTATTTGTAGGCTTATCAGAATATGATAGACAGCCATTATTTAATAAATGTCTCCTTGATCTTCAGGTGGCTTTAGAGGTGCGAGAGGAGGAGGAGGTAGAGGTGGGGGCTTCAGAGGAGGGAGAGGAGGCGGTGGTGGTTTCAGAGGTGAGTGTGGAAAAAACTTTAAATACTGAATTTCCAGACCTGGTATTGTCTGTCATTTTTAATTTCATTTTTATTTACCAAAAAGTATATAGAACACCATGGTGTTCTTTGTTCCAGACTAATTTATAGTTTCATTTTATGTCACACTCTTCCTTGCTTTTCCCTTTGAATTTTTTCACCTATTTCTAATTTATTTAACTGTATTTTTAATTTGAAAAATAAAACGGTGTAATATGAATGACAGTTAAATTTGGTAAACTAGGTTTGCTAAGCATTACAAGAACTATTGCTGATTTTAAACTTGAGATTTGGGTAATAGTACTTTAAAGACTCATTTTTCTATACGCTTAATACTTTCATTTTCTCTTAATCAGGGAGAGGACATTAAGTAACAATTGACAGAAACTTCAGCTGATTTCTGCGTTAACCTGTAGTGATCTACTTCTATGGATCAGAAACTTTGTTTCTTGAGCAAGCCTTGAAGAACTATGACAGTGGCACTTACATGTTAACATCATACAAACAGTGCAACAGAATAGGCAGTTTTGCTCTACAAGTATGAACAAGTGTTTTAATGTTTTGTATAATGCTTGGAACTGTGGTTGCTTAGTAAATGGACAGTTTTCATTTGCAGCATATATGAATTTTTAAAATAAAGTGTTTTATTCCTTTAAGTTATTTAGAGCTGTGTTTATTAAACCAGAGCTATTTTTGAAGTTAAAAGAACAACTAAAGCTGAAACCCAGTGGCCGTCACATAGAAAAAATGATTTGGTTCCATATATAACTGATCTTTAAAAAAAATTGGCTAGTGGAGCAGTTATTTATAAACTAACACCCCTTTCAAAATGTTTGCCTTTTGTATACAAGAACACCAGCACCCTTTATTGTATTGTATTTTCCTTCTCTGTGTTAGCAGTTTCTCTAATTGCAATTAATAATTAATTAGAAAATTTTAGTATTGATTATGAATCTATTAAAGTTGGGACAGCTCTGTTCAAAGTGAGAACTAAAGTTCAAGAAATTTCTGAAATGCTTAATTTTTCTTATTCAATATAGATTGAATGTTGAGTTTTACTGAATGTTATTTTACTTTATAAAGGGACTCTAAATGTTTCAGATATTATTCACTGTAAGTAAATATTTGATTGCCTGCTCACATTCAGTTTCCTGGGAAGAGACATCAGAAATGAAATTGATTTTGGTCCCTATTGCTAGTGTAGTATCAAGAAGTAACCGTGATAGCAAGTTAGAATATTGTGATATGGGACCATTTCCCCTGCCATTGATTTTTTTCCCCCTTCACATGTGTTTTCTCAGAAGGAATGATGTTGCCATATTTTTTCCTAAATTTTCTAACGTAATACTCAGTTAACTCTTGAATGCTCATTTGAGTAGCATATAATATTGCCTATGTCGTTATTGTGGGTTTTTCTTAACTATTTCTGATTAATGGAATTGCAGCAGCATTAGTAAATATGTGGGCCCTGAATATATACGATGAACAAATATGTTGAAAATTAGTGTTTCACAGGTAAAAGGAGTTGTGCTTTTACAACATGGGAAAGGAGGCTATTTGATTTAGAATCCTTGCATTGAAATTTTCAGTGAGAGTTAGAGCCAGGGTTTCTACTCTTGGTTTATAAAATATTACATGGCAAGCACTAGAGAGGCCATGGCATTGTCCCAAGGACCGACAATAGTGTAACATTCCTACACTTTTTTATTATTTTTTAAATTTTTTATTATTAGTTTCATGTGTACGGAACAATGCAATAGTTATCCTTTATACCCCTTACAAAGTAACAGCCCCTCTCCCCCACACTACTATACTTTTTAACATTAACCAAAGTCTAAAATAGTTATGATGGAAATAGTGTGTAGGTTGGTAGACAAACCACTTGGAGATTTCACCTTTTGCTTAGTATATTTTTTGGTCGTTGTCCATCTTTAAACTTTTATTTCCATATCTTATTTTTCCCTTTCTTCCTTATAATAGCTCTTTCTGGGTTTCCTTTGGTACATTTAGTTTTGAATCAAGTTCACATGTTTAGGGAGCCTAATATTAATAAATTTGGTACTATGACATCACTGGGTTCCATTGTAAAAGATACTTGAATGATTATTCTCATATTAAATCTTTTGAGTTTTAACTGAATAACATTCTGATTGCATCATGTTAAAATGCACTTATTGCCATAACAATTAAACAGTTTATTGGAATATAAGCAATTTTTCCTGGTATTCCTGAAAATTTGGGAAGAGTTATGAAAGGATTGACTTTAGGCAATTGAAGTTTATGAAATTAAAAAAATTAAAGCTGTGTAAACATTTTGATTTGAAATGGTTATATTTAGTATTCTAAGCCTCATTCCAACAAAGTTTTTCTGTATGACTCATGAAGGAGCCATGAATAAGTACTTTGAATGCACCTACCACCCCCATATCTGTAACACTTTACTACAGCAGATAATTGGCCATCTTTGGAATTATTCTTCATTTTTTTATAAGTAGAAATAGTTATTTCTGGAAAGTTTAAGTGGATGCTACAGTTAGGTATCATTCATTATAGAAGAGGAAGGAACTATGATCCAAAGCATAGTCAAAAAAATTTTTGGGGGGCCGGCCGAGTGCAGTGTTGGTTAAGAGCTGGCTTGGGATGCCAGAGGGCCCTGGTTCGGATCCCACATATGAGGCCAGTGACACTGCCCTCTACAGCTACGATGCTGAACAACAGCTCAACCTGGAGCTGGGCTGCCGTGAGTCGCTGGCAACGGCGTAGGCTGCAGCCCCTGTGGCAGTGGGTTGCCATGGGCTGCCGTGTGTAGCCAGCAGCCAGCGTGAGCGGCCCTCAAGCCGCCATGAGTGACCAACGACTGATCTGCCTCGCCCAGGAAGAGCACAGTGATGGTGCCAACTTGGGCCAGTGAAACAACATCCTCCACAACTAGACTGAAGACCAAAAAAACAGCAACTTGTCTGTTCCCCTTCCCCCAATTCCCCAATAAAAATCTTAAAAAAAACAATTTTTTTTTTTGTTCTGAATACTGAATGCAAAGAAAAAAAAAGATTTAAAACCCAACAAACCATAGATTTTTAAAAGAGAGCGTTCTACTTAGGTATTATGTTCATTGCTTTGGGGTTATTTGAAGGTATTTTGGTATTGGAATACTGATGAGATTGACTTGACTAGCATAGCTACTCTGGAGTGTTACTTTATTAAAAATTTGAGTTCTGGTAGCTGTTAGATCTGGGACAGATCACCCAACTTGGTTCAACTTCGTCAGTTTATATATAGCTGAGAGAATTGAGGCAAAAAGATTCTCTTGAGTCCCTTCCTGCTATGCCAATTAAGATTTATAAAATTAAGTTAAATGGGCAAATATAGCCCTCTAGTGGTTCTGTTATATGCTTACACTGTTAACTTTGATGCATCTAGCATTTCTCTAAAGTTACTGATTTAAAGAAATTCACTATTGAGAAGAATCAGATTTTAATATTACATGGCATAAAAAATATGGGTAAAAAGAGGTGTTGGGGGTATATTATTCTAACAATAAATGTTCATGTTAGGTTGTAACCCATTTATGTAACCCAGTTTTTGAGTTATAACAAGATAGTCCAGAATATGAGAATTGCCCTGTACTTTACAAATGAATGATTGAATCCAGATACTTGACTGATACATGCTATGATTATTATCAGATAATTACTGGTGCATATCAGTGTAGAATAAATTAACTGAGGTGGATTGTGAAGTAGATCATGCTATATCCATGCTATGAAATATATAGCTATTAATAACTTAGACTTAGGTTTATAGACCTGGATTTATGATAAGGCTTTAGGGGAAAACAAGTTACAGAATGATTTTATATATGCATATCTCCCCATTTTTATTTAAAGTGAGAGAAACCTCAAACCCATATATGAATATGTTTGTATAAGCAAAGAAAAACAAAAGGGTATACACCAAACAATATGATTAGGGGTGTGAGATTTGGAAGGATGTGGGGAGATCACTTCTTTATTATCTCTTAAATTGTTAAGGAAAAAAACAAAAGGAACTGAAATTGAAAAATTTGAAAGGGTCAACCGAAAACAGGGACTTTAATCTGAATGGTTTTAGAGGACCGAGTCTGGCTCTTAACTTCAGAGCTGATTTCCAGCAGAGAGCAGTTAACTCAGCTCCTGCACTGAATTTCTGAGTTGGTTTATTGTTTAAATGGGATGTTTGCACTTGATAATCTCCTTAGATATAAGGCTGATGCCTAAATTGGTTAAAATGTGTGGCTTGGTATTTCTCTTTATTTTGCTAATAAGCCTTTTCCTTGTTCTGGGAATTAAAATTCTTTCCTCTTTAGCCCAATCACAATTGTTAAGGGAGGGCCTCTATGAAAAGGCCATTCTTTGAGGTCTCTAAGTGGAAATGATTAGTTCTGAAAATTCTTCCCTCAGTGGCATTTATAACATTTCGTAATTATTGAAGGCTTTTATAAGGAAGGCTGTCTGAATATCTTCCCTCCAAAATGCTAAGGAATAATTTAGGCAACAGTTCAGACTTTAAAAGTGAAGATGGCTCCGTCTTTTCACAGACTGAACACAATGTTGTTGCAACTTATTTGATTATGGCAGGTATGTATGTTTACTCCATTAAACAATAATTTTACTTTCAAATGGGTGAAGGACAGCAGAAGTTTTGAGCATAAGGTAGTAGGAAAAGCATGGGTTTAAAGACCGTGTTTCAAGTTCCGTATTGTTGGCCAGCCTCCAGAAGTCACTTAGCCTTTCTGAGCTGGGGTGCTCATGTAAATAAGGATGATGACACTTGCTCTATTTCCTGACTATAAAGATCAAGTAAGATTGTAGGTGAGAGGATAAATGAAAGCATTGGCAATGGTGGTTAATGTCACAAATTACTTGGAATGCAAGAGAAATTAAGTGGAGCTGAGAAAAGTTTTCTATAAAAATATATTCTTTTATAATCATATTTGGTTATGACATTAAGTTTTTATTGGGGAAAACTGCATCATGGCAAAAGTGTCCTTTTATGTCATTTACTATTCTCATAGATCCTTTTCATAGTTTTTTCCTTGGTTGGAATCTAGTTAAGACTGAAAGGTCCTGAAAAGAAAATGTCATAAAAAGAGAGAGCAGAGTGTATTGTCATTGAGGACAGAGGGTGAAAATTCAGCTATTCCAGAATGCTGTATTTGAAAAACTCTTGAGCTTCAGATTTTGTCATTTAGTATCTTTGCAACAGCAAACAAGTTCCATTACCTTTCTGTTCTATTTTCTTATCTGTAATACAGGGATAAGAATAAGGTACTTGTCACAATTGTTGTAAAGAGTAAAATTAAGTGACACATAAATGCATCTAAATAACACAGTAGGTGTTGGAGAATATTTGTTTCTTCCCACATATACACAGTCATTGATGCATATATTGGATTAAGATAAAGACTCGTTTGCTGAAAAAAAAGAGGGAAAATGATAATAGAAGTTCCCTGACTATCTTCTTTATGTATAGGTTGAATTGTGGTATAAACTTTATACTTAGCAGTCACTTCATTTGCAGCTATGCTTAATAATGCATTTTAGAAGTAACTCATATTGGGTTATTATTTTTGGATTGATATATGAAAAATTTCAAATATATTCACAAGCAGAGTGAAAAGCATAACAAATTTTACTATACCCATTTTATTTATAATTTATTAGTTTCCCCGTAATTCACAGAGTATTGCTTGTGTGCCAGAAATTGTGGTTCCTCAGTTAATTTTTGTAAATTTTAGTGCTATGCTAACTCGTTCATTTGAATACCTCTGTATGATAAGTACTGGACAAGTTCTGTTTTTGATTTTTCGTTGTTGCAACTCTGTGCTACTTAAAGAGAAAACCTCCTTACTACAATTACATAGAAATATTTTGTGTACAAACTTTTGATTTAGTTAGTTTTTTGTAGATGACCAAGAAAAGCTATCATTTTTTATCTGTTCACAAAAATAGCCTGCAAAAAAGTTTTTCTGGTAAGAAAATGTTCTCTCTGGTTCTTACCTCTGCAGCTTTAATAATAATGATGTTATTGTATTACCATGACTCAGATGACTGCTACCACCACCCCACTACTAGCTGTTACTACTAATGTCATTATTTGAATAGTTGATGTACCAACCATTGTTCTAAATACTTACATGAACAGAATAATTCTTATAATAATTCAGTAAGCAAATTCATTTTGTTTTTCCCATTTACACAGATGAAGAGTTTAGGTAACTTGCCCAACACACACATCTACTCAGTATTTATACTACGATTTGAACTCAGGCATTTTGGTTCTAGAGCCCTCACATTATAACCACAAGGGTCTGTTTTATCAAGGAATACTGTGAGTATGTGCCGTTTATTTGTGTTTTTGGTAGTTGAACTGAAGGGAGCATATCTAACCTCTTTATGCTTTTGTTCAAACATTTATTCTTTAGTTCGCCTAATTTTTTTTCCTTTAACAAAACCCACTTAAACTTCCAAATCAAATCCAAAAAGTATGAGGAAAAGAATTCAGTCAAAGCATTTATTTGTCACTTTTACCAAGAGCCTAGAGTTTTCATTTTAAATTTAATTTTTAATTTGCTATTTCTCTTAGATTTTAGCTCTTACAAACTTTAACCAACTTGAGCAGTTGCCTTTTCTATAATTAAGGCTGGGAGGCAAGCGGGCATTGTGGATTAAGAGTCTGAAATAAACTCATTATGAATTATAAAATGAAGGGTGAGAGCTATTAGGCTGGAGAGAATGGCTGTGTACCAGCTCATGAAGAACCACCCAGGTTGTAAAGACAGTAAGAGTCACTGAATGATATGATTCATTTTGCATTTTGGCAAAATGTATAGTGGTAGCTAAGGGACCATGTAGGAGTCCCTGTGCGATTAAGATGAGGAAAGCCTAAGGAGGGAGTAGTGGCAGTGGGGACAGAAGATAGTAGACACATTCAAGAGCTAGAAGTTAGAATCGTTGGTTAGATGTGGAGATTGGGGGAGAAGGAGAGGGAGCATCAAAGATGACAGATTTCCTTTTTGGGGTACTGGATAGATGGCAAAGCTATTCCCCAAGATAGGAACACACCTGGGCAAGAACAGTTTGGGGCAGGAGAAGTTTCTGGGTTCAGTTTGAGAGATGTCCTGTAAAAAGCTGGACACATGGGTTTGAATTTTAAGAGATCGATCTGGAAAGTATCAGCATAAAGCCTTGGATATGTAGGAAATCACTCGGAGTATGTGTTGAATGGGGGTATGAAAAGAAAGGGGGTCTAGGACAGAAACTTGGACAATGCACATATTTAACAAGGTAGGGATGAGAGAAAGGCCAGGAAGAAGGATCTGCCAAAGAAACTGGAGAAAAGCCACAGAAGCCAAGGGGCAATTAAATCAACTTAGACCTATTAAATGATCATTGTCTATTTATTAGGAAACAGCTACAGGAAGGGAAATGAAACAGAGTGCTTGAGACTATTTTGTGTACAAACTTTTGATTTGTACATCAAAAGAGAGAACAGACAAAAGGGCTAAATTGTTTACCTCACCCCACCCAGTATATCTGAGACTGCTCCCAAGTGCGGTTACTTGATCCTGGTTGCACACTTGGTAGGTAGCACTTATGCACTGGGTTTTATCTGACGCTTTAAATCATCAGATTTGTAGCTAGCCCAAAAAGATTTTTCAATTCATTAAGCTTTTTGGAATATGACCTTTATACATGCTACAAGACTAGATGCTAAAAATAGAGCCAAAGAAGCATCAAATTTGCTGTCATTGTGCCTTAATTATGCTTTGCAGGAATAATAGAAATTAAGCAATATGAGTTTTAGTTGAGGTCTGTTTGTATAAATCTGCTATATGCCACACAGTGAAAGAACACAGAAATCATTTGGAGCCTGAAATATACATGGGAAAACAAGAAATCCAAAAAAGTTAATGTAGCATCACTTAAGATTAAGTATAATATAAGCAAGTTGTTTGGGAATTGAGAGGAGAGTGTTCTGTGAAGAGAAGGCTTTGGCGCAGAACTGGGCTTGCACAGAACTTTGAAGGATGAGTAGCATTTGGATAGATAGAGGAAAGAGGTAGGATGTCTCAAGTGGGAGAAGTATGAGTCAAAATTTACAAGTCTGGAGTATTTGATAAATAACTAGAATGGAGGGCTTACTTGACAAGTGTGCAAATTTGCTTGGAAAGGGTGAAAACAGATTGAGGCAAAGCCTGGACTATCAGGCTGGGACATGTGGACTTTTGTCTCACAGAGTGGAGAAGACTGACGTTTGGGAAAGAGAAGAACTGTGGTTAATTCAGTGTGGCAAGCTCCTGCCAGCAGCATGGAGGAGGAAAGAACAGGAATCCGGAAGATTAGTGTAACAGGACGATAAACGGAAGTTTTAACTGGTGCCAATCTCGGAAGTTTTTCCTTAGCTGATACTTTTGTGTGCTGGTGCTTGGAAACCTTTCCTCTCAGACAATAGCAGGGGGCTGCTCACCAGTTTCTCTTCACCACCGTGAACACAACTCTATTTCTTCTGCTGCTCACACTCCCTTAGCCCCTAGGCATCCAGTAATGGCTCTAGCATTTGTCTATTCATCCCCCTCCCTCACTGTTGGGACCTAGTATGGCTCACGTCAGGGTTATGGGAAACGTGCATCCTTTGCAGCATGTGCAGCGGTTCTCAACCTTCCTGATGCCGCGACCCCTTAATACAGTTCCTCATGTTGTGGTGACCCCCAACCATAAAATTATTTTCGTTGCTACTCTATAACTAATTTTGCTACTGTTATGAATTGTAATGTAAATATCTTTTTGTTTTCCGACGATCTTAGGCGACCCCTGTGAAAGGGTCGTTCGACCCCCGAAGGGGTCGCAACCCACAGGTTGAGAACCGCTGAGTAGGGGGTGTTAAGCTAACAGGCACATCTGGTCCACTCAACAATACTTCTCATTGTAAATTAATACATTGGCATTCTGATTAAGAAGTTCAGTCATCTGTCTACCCAAGTTCTGCCAATTCTGGATCATCAACAACATTGCGTTTCTGCGCGGGCAAAGCTAAGAGTCAGATCCCAGACTGGGAATTTGACGAGGGTGATCACCTGTGAGGATTCTCAGTGTACCCTAAAGCCAGCCTGACTTTCTCTCCAGGTAGCCAAAACTTGCAGAGTGAGTGAGTGTGTGTGTGTGAGTGTGTGTGTGTGTGTGTGTGTGTGTGTGTGTGTGTGTGTTGGATGGAGAACTCCAATTTGGTCATGTTAAGCTTCAAGTAATATTGGAACAGTCATTTGATCTTGCACACATAGATGCTTAATGAATGTTTAATGGCAATTAGTTGAATGAAAAGGGATATGGAACTGGAGCGTGGGTCAGGGCTGGAAAGTGACAGAAGAGTTTGTGGGATGTATGATAGTTGAGGCTTGAGAAAGGAAACTACAGAGAAAGAAGTCTCGGGCCTCAGGAAGGAGGAGGAAGAAGTTCAGCTGCCAGCACAGACGGGAGGGTCCTACATGGATCCCCCAAATCAGCAGAGCTGGTATCATGAAAGGCAAGGGAGGAATTTCAAAGACAGAGTAATTAATAGCCATGACATTAAAACTAGCCTTCAGTGCTGGTTTATGCAATTGGTAGGTTGCTTTAATTTTCCTATTGCTATTTCACGGGAGGGTTGTGAAGATATTAAATTAGTTTTAAGAAGAGTTGAAACTTCAAATAAATGAATTGAAATATTGGAGATTGTGTTTTGAAGGGGCTTAACTATAATTTTGATACTACTTTTAAACATTTAAATTAAACAAAGTGTATGATGATTTTGTGTATGTTCTCAGGTATAATAAGTATTCTCAGCAACATAACAGTTCTGGGCATCTTCATGAAATACAAGGAACTTCGGACACCCACAAATGCAATTATCATTAACCTGGCCGTTACTGACATCGGGGTCAGTAGTATTGGCTATCCCATGTCTGCTGCCTCAGATCTGTATGGAAGTTGGAAATTTGGATATGCAGGATGTCAGGTATTGGAGATCTTTGCAACGAAGGCTAAATAATTTAGATTAAAAAGATGTAAATTTAAATGTCTAAAAAAATCCCAAGGGCTTCAATCACATAAGATCATGTAAGGGGATAGATACAGTGCTCTAATTGAAAGCAGCTTCGGGAGTGATTGGGAAATGTATTCTTTAATATGAGAAATGAAATCGCTAGCCATTATTATATTTTTTAAATTTCCCCAACCCAAAGGGAAAAAAAACAAATTAACATTCATCGAAGGAAGAAAACTGAAAACGTGCATATTCAAATGAAAGCTTGTATATTGCAAATTCAAAAAGAAATACCCTGCTTTCATTTGAAACAATGAACTATTAATGGTATATCATAATATCTAAGTAATGTAGTTAAGCTACCACTTTGTCGTTGTTTGCTGTATGCAAAGTCCTCCACAAGAATTGCTGTTAAATATATCTGCTATTATTCTTACTGACAAGGAAATAGATTAATATTAGTTTGCATTACGATAGTACAGAAATAAGATTTTTTGGCCTGATTTTTTTAATAGTTGATTTTAAGCTATAAAATTATAGACAGAAAATGAGAGTAATAGAGAATAATGAATACCCAAGTATGCACCAACCGATTTGTCAAATCTTAATGTTTTTCTTTCTTTTTAAAGATTTTATTGGGGAGTTGGGGGAGGGGAACAGTGTTGGGGAATTGGGGGAGGGGAACAGCCAAGTTGTCCTTCAATCTTAATTGTGGAAGGCGTAGCAAGCTCAGCTCCAAGTCCTGTCGCACGATCTCAAGGTGCCGAGTTCAGTCTTAGTTGCAGGTGGGTGTAGTCACCATCCCATGTGGGAGTTGAATCGGCAGCCTTGTTGTTAAGAGTGCACGCTCTATCCCCTGAGCCACCCAGGTGGCAGCTCAGCTCAAGATGATGAGCTCAGTGTTAGTTGTGGGTGGGCATAGCCCACCATCTCGAATAGGCAACCTTGCTGTTAGGAGCCTGTGCTCTTACCAGCTGAGCCATCCTGCCACCTATTGGCAGCTCAGTGGCAGTTCAGCTCGGGCGCAGCTAACTGGCCCATGTGGGAATCAAACTGGCGACCCTGTTGCTCAGAGCTCACACTGTTGAGCAAGCTCATAACCAACTGAGCCACTCGATCGGCCCTTAATGTTTTCAATATGTGCTTCAGGTTGTTTTTCTTTTTAAAAATATTGGGTTGTTGGAAAAGTCATGACGTATTTTTCTGTTTTTCGTTGCAAAAATGCGTCATGACTTTTCTGACAACCCAATGTAAAACTTGACACTGTTGAAGTTCTTTGCATACTGTCCCCAGTCTTAATCCCTTCTTACCCATGAATGTTTTCCTATCTTACTATATAATATTGTATGAGTATACATAAACTAGATACTGTCTGAATGTTTTAAATTTTGTATAAATAATATATTGTTTGCATTATGCAATTTCCTTTCATTATTTGATATTATGTTTTTGAGGTTTAGTCATATTGATGGATGTAGCTGTCAGCCACTCATTTTATGAACGAACATACCTCAACATACTTATTCATTTTGCTGTTATGGAGCATTTATTCCCAATAGTTTTCTGTTCTAAAGAAGCCTTCAATGAATGTTCTTATACCTGTCTCCTACAATATGTGAGAGTTTCTCTAGACACGTTGCTTAGGTGAGGGTGGCTGGGCTGGGTTGTAGAAATGTTCATCTTCAACTTTATCTGATGTGGCCAAATTGCTCTCCAAAATAGTTACGCCACTTACAATAACGTCTATTTCTCCACATTTCTCCCAAATGCTTGGGATTGTCAGACTTCTGCATTTTTATCATTTTCATGGGTGAAAATGGTGTCTTATAGTTTACATTTCTTACATAATGTGATTTATATCTTTTCTTATGTCATAAACATTCAAGTTTCCTCTTGTGTGCATAACCTATTTTTCTGTTTGCTTTTTCCTCTTGTTGAATTGTCTACCTTCTGAATACTAATCTTTTGTTGGTTATATGCATTACACCTAATATCTGGTTTGTTTTTGCATTCTGTCTATACAGTATGTTGTGTAGAAGTTTTATATCTTAAAAATTTTTTTAAAGAATATTTTACTTAATGAAGTCCCTAAACACTTTCCATAAATGCCTTTATTAAACCCATTACAATTTGACAGTGGAAGATGTATTTTAAAATTAGTAAAACAAAAAAACATTTAATGTATTTAAAATATATTCTAGCAATGGGATAAAAATATAAATGTCTCTTGGAGGGTGGGTAGAATGGTGGATTCTTTCCAACTTTGATTTTCAGATTTATGCTGGATTGAATATCTTTTTTGGAATGGCAAGTATCGGGTTACTCACAGTCGTGGCCATGGATCGATACCTGACCATCTGCCGTCCTGACATAGGTATAGCAGTTTTTTTTCTGCTTTCTCAATGAATCCATTTCTTGCCTAAGTATCACTTGACACACATTCACTTTAAGATATAAGTGTAATGGATTACAGTCATGGTCATCCTTATTTCTCTGGCAATCCTTGTTTAAAACTTTCAGTGATTTCCTATTATACTTAGAGTAAAATCCACGTTTCATAACAGCCTCCAAGGCCCTGCTGCCTTTCTCGCCTTGGCTAGAGCCCTCTTGCTTTGGGGTCTTGGCCACGCCTTTTCGCACTTTGGGGTCTTTGTAGATGCTTTTTCCTTAGGCCTGGAAAGCACTTTTTTCTTCTTAGCCTCTGGCTGATCCTTTGTATCATTTAGGTTTCAGGTTAAATGTCATTGTTTTTTCTGAATGTGAATCCATGTAGATAGGCTTTGAATGAACTAAAGTGCTCTATAAAGAATCTACTTGAAGGCCGGCTGAGTGGCTCAATTGGTTAAGAGCTCGCTCAAGAGTGCGAGCTCTGAGCAACAGGGTCGCCGGTTCAATTCACGGCCCGAGCTGAGCTGCCGCTGAGCTGCCAACAGGTGGCAGGATGGCTCAGCTTAAAAAAAAAAGAATCTATTTGATAACAACTTTGAATAATCAGTGAAAGCAAAGTGAAAATATGAATTCTGTTATTGGCAAATGATGCTAATACTTCGTATGTCTTAATAGGAAGAAGAATGACCACCAACACTTACATCAGCATGATTGTGGGGGCCTGGGTCAATGGCCTCGTTTGGGCTGTGATGCCTATCTTAGGGTGGGCTAGTTATGCCCCAGATCCTACTGGGGCCACCTGTACCATAAACTGGCGGGAAAATGATGCGTAAGATACACTTTTACACTTTATAAGCAAATGCTTCTGATGTAGACATCTCACCATTTCAAATTTAAGTTCAGATCAAATGTTTTCCATACATTGTGTGGCAAAGGGCTTCCTTGGTAGTGATGATGTGACTCCAGCATTGAATAACGCTTGTTTGCAAGTAAGGCCATCTAGCTCCCCTTGTGCTCCTTACCCTGTCCCTTCTTCTCTCTCCTCTGGCAGCAAAGGGGGAACAGAGTACCCTTCTGATATTTGCACCTCAGAGGGAGAATGTGAGAGGGATAAAGGAGTGATAGGATTGCTAGACAGCATGCAGCTCCTGCGAAAACGCAGGCAGACTCCTTTTCCTATCTGTTCAAGATGATCTGGTGATAAGGCATCTCCTGAGAATTACATAGCAAAAGCACCATCACTGTGAAGATTTGCTTGCTGATTAGTGATGCTCCTCTATATTTACCAGGGAGAAGAGGATAATTTAGTTTGTTAAGGAAAATGAAAGTTTACTCAGAAAAACAAATAGAAAATTTCTAACTCTCAAACTAAATCTAAATCTAAAACTTTTTCTGTAAAGGGCTGACAACTAAACATTTTAAGGCTTTACAGGCAAGACCATCTGTTGCAAATATTCAATTCTGCCTGTGAAAGCAGCCATAGACATTATGTGAGTGTGGTTCCAATAAAACTTTATTTATACAGATAAATGACAGTCTGGATTTGGCCCATAGGCCATAGTTTGCCAACCCCTAGTCTAAATGTCAAATATACTTCCTAAGCTATTTAATAATATAATGACTGCTGGATAGAGCCAGTATTATTTCTAATAATATCCTGTTTCCCTTCCCTTTTTAGTACATTAAACAAGTAGTGATTTAATGATTCCATTTTCTTATTTTCAGATCTTTTGTTTCTTTCACGATGACAGTTGTTGTGATAAATTTTATTGTGCCCTTGACAGTGATGTTTTACTGCTATTACCATGTCACTCGATCAATTAAATGTCATACTACTAGTAACTGCACTGAGTACCTCAACAGGGATTGGTCAGATCAGGTAGATGTAACAAAGGTAAGACATCAAAATGTTTAAAATATTTTTGTAATCATGCTCTTACACATACGTGGTCCCCTGGCCCCAGCAGTCACCTATCCCCCACCTTCTTACTCTCTGGCTCTTTTTCTGGTGTTTGTGTTCATATTTTTAAATGATGTGCTTTCCTGCTTTTTGGATATTTTTGTTTGCTATTACCTTGTGATTTTTTACTATGGACAATGAGAATTTATTTCTCTTATACCACCAACCTTTCCCATTTCTTCCCATTAACCTTTCTCTTTCCTCATCTTGACAGTATGTTACTATTTGGTTAGCTAGTGTCAATTTTACATTATTGTGATTATCTAAATTCTGTTTATTCCAGATCTCTGTAGGGGTCTGTGATTTGTTTTTTGTTTTTGTTTTGTTTGCTTGTTTGTTTGTTTTATAAAACTTTTTCCTCCCATGGAGTTAATATTGTTTTTTCCTTCTTCCTATTCCTCCTTTCTTCTCTCTCCCACCTCTTCTTCTCTTCCCCTTTGGAGTTTCGTTTGCTTACTGTTCTGTGTACCTGTCGCCAACTCATCTCCAATCTCTCCACCAGCAGCATCAGTTTCCTCTTAGTATTTTCAAATGCATTGGAGACTAGATCGACTTTCTCCTTTTCTTAGAGCTTCTATTCCTGGAATTTCTGGGCCTCCTGCTCTGCTCTACACTGGCCATTCTCTAAAATCACTGCCCAGAAAGCTGGCATCCTTGGATCACCTTCATCACGATCTGCGAGTGCCTTTGGCCTCTGTCCTGGGTGGGATCGCCTGTTTTCTGGGTTGCATGTCTTCCTTCTCCTTGGTTCCTCCCTCTCATTTGGTGGAGCACTTTCTCAAGAAGATTCCTGAGAAGGTTACGGGGAGGTAAATGTTTAAAGATTTTGCATGCCTGAAAATGTCTTAAAACTCTACTATCGTATTTGACTGATTGTTTGCCTGGTATAGAATTCTAAGTAGAAAATGATTTTCAGAGAATTTTGAAGGCATGCTCTATAATCTCCTGGCTTCCTGTGTTGCCATTGAGAAGGCTGACAGCATTCTGGTCACTGACTCTGTGTAGCCATCTGTGTGTTCTCTCTGCAAGCGGGTAGGATCATCTCTGTGCCTCCAGTTTTCTGGAATTATATAGTGATTTGGCTCTTTATTCACCCATGTGCTGGTGCTTGGTAAGTGCTGCAATGTGAGACCCAGGTCCTTCCCTTCGCGAGAGATCTCATCTTATTTCTCTGGTGACCCCCCCTCTTTGTTTTGTTGACTCTGTTCTGTTCCTGGAACTCCTTTTATTTCATCTCCTGGATTTATTTTCTAATTAAAAATTTTTTTCTGTGTTGTTCCTGGCTGGATTTTTGTTTGTTTGTTTGTTTGCTTTTGTTTTTACTTTGTGAGAGGTTTTCTCAACATTGTCCAAGTCTGGAATTGGGTGAGGAGAGTGAGGCTCAAGCCTTGGGTGCAAAATTTAAGCAGACACCAAAATACTCTAATCAAAAAAAAGAAAAAAGTTGTAGTTAATGCAGTATTTTAAAAAATCCAAATTAATGCCAAAACCTATACTGAACACAATACAAAATTTTAAATAAAGATAGGATCTGACCTTGCACCTGCATAACTCACCTCATTTACCTTACCCTGTATCCGGCTAATCATCTTGTTCAACTTTTGTATTGCATTTCTGTCACCTTTTTTATATATAGGATAGAAAACATTGTTATAGATAAAAGAATTATTTTATATTCTATACTTTTTTTTAATAGCCTTCTCTTCTTGTTTTATGTCTTTTCTCACTTCTGTGATGTTGTTATGTATATATTTACATGTTCCTTCTGTTCGTCACATATTTTTTGTTTCCCCTGAGTTTCTGCACCATTTTGGTCTCTGCCTGTCAGTTTGCGTGTTTCCTCAATGTCTGTGGTGACTGTCCCTGCATAGTGCATGTGATGCACTAAAAAACTGATTGTAAGCTCTGGATGGGCTCTTTTGCTGGGATGTTTCTTTGGAGGGGTTTCTGACAATCTGTATCTACCTCTAGGTATTGTCTTCTGGGCTGATCAGTTTCCAAGAAGATCCTTTCACATCCCTGGGTGGGAGGTATAAGTCTGTCTACCTGTATGCTTAGGGCTCAGAGAAAGTGACTGGGGACAGCATGCAGCACCCCTCTCTTAGCATTCCAGCTCTCAGCAGAGCCAGGTGTCCCCCAGTCCTGAGTTTCCCTGCTTTCTTCTCTCTTACACTGACCTGGGATTTTCCTGGGAGAGGAAGGGGCCCCTACCTGGCAGAGTGCAAACGGGATTCAGAAATCTGGTTCTTTTTGCAGACTTCAGTGAGTTCCCCTGTTTTAAGTTCCAGGGGCAGCCCCACATTCTGAGCTAGGTGTGACCTCCAGTTCCTGAGACTGTCTGTAGTTCTGTGCAATAGATTAGTCTGTATCTGGTTTTCTCTCACTGCTAGCTCTTTAAAAATTTTTTAATTTGCTTTTTAATCATTTTTGTGTCTGATAAGTAATTTGCCACTTGTCCAAAAGTTATTTATTCAGTTTTAATTTTTACAAAGTTATTGTCTAATTTGTGATTCTTAGTTCTTATGGTTTGATATCTTTTTAAACCTCTTTTCCATCATTTTAGTGGGCAATCAGGAGGGGCAATGTAAAAATTATAACTTTTTGTTTAAACGAGATGTCAGGGGAGCTCCTTTACAAAACTGTCTGCACTGGACACATTATATATTGAGCTCAAATCATCTATATTTGAACTCATTGAGTTCAGCATAGGATTTTTGTTTTCAAATTGAGGTTAGTTAGTTAGAAAGTTATTTTTAGGTTAGCAGATAATGACAGTGAGAGAAAAAGCATAATGCTTGCAGTCCATAGCACAATTACTAGAAATGGGTTAGGAATGGGTTTATATCTGCCTTTCATCAGCTTTTTTATTCTTCCCTAGCACACCAACAGAAAGCAGGTATTCTCTACATTTGTGTCACATTCTATCCATTTCACAAGCTCTTGCTATCATAGATAACTTCTTCTTTTGCACATGAGCAAAGTACAATGAGCGCAAAAAATCAGTTTTTCCTTTATGTCATCACCAACATAGACTTATTCAAATTCCAGTCTGGATAATTTTTCGTGCTATTTTAAATATATTAGCTATTCAGTTGTTTTAGATTTGGGGTTTGGCAAATACTGATTTCTTTTACAGATGTCTGTGATAATGATACTCATGTTTCTGGTGGCGTGGTCCCCTTATTCCATCGTGTGCTTATGGGCTGCCTTTGGTGATCCAAAGAAGGTTCCTCCCTCAATGGCCATTATTGCTCCACTGTTTGCCAAATCTTCTACCTTCTACAATCCCTGTATTTATGTGGTTGCTAATAAAAAGTAAGTTATGTCTAAAATGCTCTGAATAAAATAACAAATACAGAAAGAATGTTAAAAAGGCAGCAGATTAGTTTGCTCATTTATTCTGTTCTTTAGATTCCACATATAAGTGAGATCATATGGTATTTGTCTTTCTCTGTCTGACTTATTTCACTTAATGTAATGTTCTCTAGGTCCATCCATCCATGTCATTGCAAATGGTAATATTTCATTCTTCTTTATGGCTGGGTAATACTCCATATGGTTTTCATGCTTACCCCACCCAAAATACGTGGAATCAGTGTTCCAAAGAAAAGAGTGGCTCTATTACTGGAAAATGGACAAGACAAGGCAATGTGGGGCTCCCTAAGTGGGTAGCATAGTTGTATATTTACTATAAAGAAGACGTGTCGTTTGAATGCAAGAGAAAAATCCAGTGCTAGCATGAAGGGCTTCAGGAGTGGGTAGTCACTGAGGATAATAGAGAAAGAGCCTCTTCCCCTCCTTTATCGGGACTCTTAGTTAGGATTTCTTTCTTGCCTCCTCAGTGGAACTTAGATTATTTCCTGTTGCTGCTGAAAGATGGAATGAACCAATCTACTGTGCTTAAATATTTTAAATATTTGCCCAAAATATCTCAGTAGAGGGCAAGTAATTCAAGTAATCCTTGAATACTAATGCTGCTCCTATTAAACTTATGTATTTATGCACATGTTTGGGAGAGCAGCTTTAGTTACAGGTATGTGAAGTTTGAAACAAAAAAGACCAAACAGATCACATAAGAAGAATAAAGAACAGATTTGAAATTCAGAGTCTGTTGGTGGTTCTTTTGGAAAGGTCAGTCATTCTCAGACTCTCCATAATTTCAACTGGCCTTTGCTTTGAAGAACAGATGCATGAAATACATATCCTTAGTTCAAATAAATAAACTGTTGCAATTGACATAAGACGTCATTTTAAACACATATAATTATTGATTTTTTAAAATGTCTTCAATGTTTATAATCAATTGCACAAAATTGGTCTTTAACTACCCTTTGTACATTTATAAGGTTCTCAACAGGAGATGTTAAAGTCGGAGGCAAAAATTTATCTGGAGATGTCAGTTGGCAGCAGTGGTCTCTTAGCCATATTTGAGAGTGCTTTAAAATTCCAAGTCATTTTGGATAATGCCAGGTTTTCCCCTTTTTATTGAAGGTTTCGGAGGGCAATATTTGCCATGTTCAAATGTCAGACTCACCAAGCAACACCCGTGACAAATATTTTACCAATGGATGTACCTCAAAATCCACTGACTTCTGGGAGAATATGAAATCAGAGGAAAGCACAAGTTATCAAAACATTTTACTTACTTTTTTTTTTGCAGTGCTTTCATTTTATTTAAAGTATGAGCCCATTTAGATCAAATTCAGACATAGATTACTGTCCTATTAGGCTTAATTCCTCATGCATAGTTTATAGTTCTTCCTGTTTCTGCATTGGCTACTGTAGGGGATGTTTCTTTATTTCCTTATGTGTAAACCTTATTGCTCACCTCCTTTGATGAATCCAGGCACATGAAATTAAGGCCTCTTCTCTTTCTCTCTATCATGGCAGGCATTACACTGGGCTAATGACCTGGTATCTTGCTTGGGTCCTCCGTTAGACCAGAAGCAGCTGCTATGTTAATGTTAGAATAAATTTATAATAGTAACAGTTAGCAGTCTTAATAATTATATTGTTAAATTTTCATTTCTAATTACCATTTTTCTGTATATGTATTTCCATTATTTGCCACTAGAATTAAATATAATCAGAGTTGGGGGGGGTCTTGTAAGTTTGTTCTTTTTTTTGCTATCTTTTTTGTTTATTTGAAATTTATTTTACTGTGATAACAACATAACATAAGGTCTACCCCCTTAACAAATTTTTAAGTGTATGATACAGTATTGGTAACTATAAGTACAATATTGTACAGTATGTCTCTAGAACTTATTCATTTTGCTTAACTGAAACTTTATGCCCATTGACTAGCCGTATGTTTGTTCTTTGATATATCCTTAGCACATAGACCCATTTTGCCTGGCACATAGTGGGGACTCAATAAATATTTGTTGAATGTTGAATAAATTTGTAAACTCATATGTTTGTCACTTTAAATAACCATTAAGCATAGCATGATAATATACTATTGTTTAAATAGTGAACATTTAAAATCTGTAATATTTTATTTTAATTAAGCCAGTTCTTCTGACTCTGTTGTTTCTATATGCATCCTATTATTTTTAAATAATGTCTCATAATAGTCTTATTTTTATAAAATTGATTATTTAAAAAAAGTTTTTGGTTTAAAGATGTTAGTAGAACCACCCATTAAGAAGATTAAATGCCATATATATTTGTATATAGATATTACCTAAACCATTGATTGTGTCTGTGGATTCTCTATCTTGTGTTTATGGAGGTAGTTTTTTAACCATTTAATTTAATTTTTATTTTGTGGTACAGCCTAACTTTGCTAAAAGGCATGACAGTTGATCTTTAGCTATGGTTTGATGCCCATAACTTGGGAAACTAGCTTGGAATAAAATATATTCTTGAACAGTGACAGTAGCCTTTGTTAGAAATAAGCGTGCTGGCAGGAGCCTTATACTGTGCTGAGATGACCTGGGAGAGCCACAGAACACGCTCACAGGACTCTTAGTCCTGCACTTCAGCTGTGGATTGAAGCATTTGACCTAAAAAACCTAGGCACTGGGCTTTGTCTGCTTGGTTTTTGGAGCTAGGCAATGCATGACAATATTGATTATTCTAAATCAATTTTGTGTCATGTGATTATATCTTTAAAGCTAAATTTTATAAAACATTGATATACTTGCTGGTAGAAAGCAAATGCACAAAATAAAATGTATAATGTAAACAATTTGTAGTATTTTCTAGTATCTGCTAAGGCATTGAATTATTTTTAACATTAAGTGTATCTTCAAGGTGTAGTAGCAATTACATCCATAGGAAAAGAATTTAATAGGCACTTCCTTGCAATTTAGCTATTGGCAACTGTTGAAATTTTCTTGACATGTGTTTGATTTTCATTTTCCTTAGAATGTGTTACTTTGCTGAAACTATATTCAAAGGCCAGGAAGATTGATCTGCTTGCAAGATACACTTGAAGGTTAAGTAAGTACAGATCTCAGCTAATCCTGTGTAATCCGCTCATACTAAATGGCTGTTTGCATTCCAAGCACACCAGTTTCTGAATGCTTAGGGTTTGGTTTTTACCTTTTGTTAAATAACCTCTAAGAGGAGCAATGCATCTCTTAACATGTCTGGGCGTTGTGCTTAGCTTCGTGGAAGGAGTGAGCTGTTCGTGTCCTTCCCAGTGCACCTGCGATTATCACGGCAGAAACGATGGCACGGGATCAAGGTATGCTCCTCTCCTTGCTACTGAGTTTCCAATGATTCCGAGAAAAAGAACTCCAACCAGACAGCCTTCTTTTGAAAGCAAATTGTTGATCAGAAATCAGAGGGGAGAAGGTTTAACTTCCATAAGCTTTAACTTAATTGTGTTCATACTGGTTGCCCACTTCGTTGTTTTCGTTTTGAGCAGTTTAGCTCTTAAAAGCCCTCAAATTATTGGAGACTCTCAAACACACTCTGTGTTACAAAAATATTCTTTGCACTCGTATTCACAAAATGTCTGTTTCAGGAGGTCAAGCTGAAATGTGTGTGGCCGGCTCGGTCTGATTATAGAAAGCACAAGAGGTCAGGGCTGATGAGGCAATGCGGGACATGCTCAGGCATTTGCGTCTTAGGTTTTACATTTCATTTTAAAGGTTATTCATGCCAACGGGTTAGACCTTAGAGAGCAGGAAGGAAGATCACAAGAGTGAAGTTAGAAAGTTCCATAATTAGAATTTTTCATTTTTAGATAATGGAATTTACAAAGAAAAGGAGTTTGAAAGATACGGATCAACCCTGTCGCAAACACTGTAGGGCCTCATGGAAGTTATCTAACCTCTGGGTTGCTGTAACATCTACCTGTGAAGTGAGAATAATTACGTACTCATAAGGTGCATGAGTCCTTTGAGATAGAAGTGAAATGCAAAACATGTAACTCTTGTTAGCTAAACAAGGTAGACCCTGATTTTTTAGGAGAGGATATTTAATGACAAGATCAGATTTTTTTGTGACTTGGTTGATGTGAGCAGTGAGCAGTGTTAAAAGAATCACCCAATTTCTGTCTTACAATTTTAAACAAGTAATAATAATTAAAACATATTTCTGAGTAGTTTGTCTTGTTATTATATAACATTTCCTTAACCAACTCTTGGTGTCTTTTTGGGAGATTCACTAAGTGGCTTAAGACAATGAGAAGAATGTAACAAATTAAAGACCTACTTGACAAAAGATATGTAGTAGTTAAATACTCAGGCCAAGGAACTTTTGAGAAACAATCACAGAACTGTTTCCTTCCCTGTGGCAGCCTCATTATTGATGGATTTTATAAAAATGATATTTTATTATTCTTGGCAAAAACACTAGAAATGATCTAGTTTGGCTGCTGTCATTTTATAAATGAAGAAACTAAACCATACAGAGACTAAATGACTTGTCCAAGGTTAAAGCTCTGAGCTGATGCAATGACTTACTAGTTGATAAAGACACTGGGTCTTTCAGCTTCTGATCCAGGCTTTTTTCCATTGCAGCACACTGGAGTGCTGACTTAATGAGTAGGAACTGGATCATTCTGGTCTAAAGCAGCACTGAAATTTTTGATAGAGAATAGAGATGAGGAGTAAGAAGTGTCCGTAGAGAATTCTGATGTTTTCCTGTGGTCTTCTCCAAAAGTTACAGGCAGAAGATGATGGTGATGACGCGAGCCATACATCGTGGCTTTATGCTTCTCACCTCTCTTTACATTTATAGGCTGGCTTTTAAAGTTCGCTGATTTAATGTGATATGTTTTACCAAATGGCCGTTTTCTTATTATTTATTACACGTATAATGTATTATAATTTAGATCATGCTTTGCAAAACATTTCATCATTTATTTTCAGCAATCCAATGAGAATGACTTTATAATGGGAGATAAATAGACGTTTTTCAGGTTAAAATGAATCTAAATTCTCTGATTCTTCATACTTTACACTCACATGTTGAACAGGCTTGTTTATGCCTGTTTTACACATGCCACTAAGTAAGATCACAACATGTCTGGCTCAAGGTGACTTAAGTTAGTGAGTGGCAAAAGGAATAAACTCACAATTTCTGGTTTATTCCGTGGGCTGGAAGCAATGCCCAAGTCACACTGTTAAAATAGAACTCAACTTTAAGCATCTAGTGTGAACATTTGCTCTTTCCTTCCTTCCTTCCCCACCCCTTTCCTTTTTAAATTGTTATCCCCTTTAAAAGGATCAATTTATAACTTCAACAGGGGATTCTTTTAAAGTGGGTCACTTCCTAAAGAAGTTAAATGTGTACTTTGGAGTTAGACAGATGTGGGTTTGAAAGGTGGCTGTGAAACCCACCAGCTATGTGACCTTGGGAAATTACCTAATGTTGGTTGGCCTCAGTTATTTTATCTGTAAAAATGAGATTGATGATAAAAACAGCAAGTACCCATTGAATGCCTGTTATGTGTCAGGAAGTTATAAAACTTTACATCCATTTTAAGTAACTATCCTAACAGTGCTATATGGGAAAATGCAGTTGAAGGATTGGTGAAGTGGCTTTCCATGGCCACAAAAGAGGTGGCCGAGCTTAGATTTGAGCTGAGGTCAGCCTGACTCCAGGGCTGGTGCCTTTAACTATTACCCAATATCTATCTCATCGGGCTGCTGTGACAAATAAGGTAATGGATGTGATGTGTGTTGCACAGGCCTGACACACAGAGCTCCATTAACAGTAGTTTGAATCACATGAAACTGCTTATATTTGATCATTTTAACCTACAAAAATGGCCATTTTCTATGGTTCAACCTAGAAGAAGATGATGATGACAAATTATTAATGAATAGATGAGACAGGCTAAACAGATATTTTGTGAAAACCAGTAAGGAGTGAAAAATTAATGCGTGTTTAAATTAAGTTGTTTTTTTTAAATGGGTCTTAGAAAGCAGGTTTCCTTCCACTGCTCTTGTTGTGATACTAGGTCTGTGCTGTGTAATGACCTGGATATGAACGAGGTCCCTATGAACTTCCCCGTGGACACTGTGAAGCTGCGCATAGAGAAGACCATGATCCGCAGAATCCCACCCGAGGCCTTCTATTACCTGATGGAGCTCCAGTACCTCTGGGTGACGTACAATTCCGTGGCCAGCCTTGAGGCCAGAAGCTTTTACAACCTAAGGCAGCTGCATGAGTTACGCTTAGATGGGAATTCTCTGGCTGCTTTCCCTTGGGCATCTCTGCTGGACATGCCCCATCTAAGGACCCTGGATTTGCACAATAACAGAATAACCAGTGTGCCAAACGCGGCAGTCAGGTACCTGAAGAACCTCACATATTTGGATTTATCAAGCAACAGACTAACCACATTGCCTCCCGCATTCCTGGAGAGCTGGTCCCACGTACTTACAACATCGTCCAGAAGCCTGGACTTTTCACCACGAAGAATTATTCTTGGTAAGCTCTCAAGCCTCTGCGCTTCTCAAGTCCCCGTTATTTGCTCAGCCTACCTTCAATTGTCAAGTCTTTTCATATTTATTGAATTTGCACATTTGGAATAGTACTTAATTAGTTGACCTAGGCTAGTTTACCCTGTGTAAGGTGTAATGGCTGTGAGTGTGTGTGCACATGCGCGCGTGCATGCGTAATCGGAGGGAGGGGAGTTGGCCTCATAGACTGAAAGATTAATGCTGCTATCAGAGAGCCTGGAGCGGGGTGACAGAATCTACCAACCTGCGTTGATTCTTCTGAACACACCAATGCTTCATACTGTGCTACAGTCAACCTGCTTTGGTTTCTTTCCAGTCCCCATCAGTCTCTTCAGGAATGGGACAGTGACATAACCATCTTTATCAGGTGGCAGTGATTTAATTAGTTAGAGAGAATAGCCGCCAAATTTTCTTAAAAAGAAATGATGAAGACATTTTATTTTACTGGCCACAAATAGGTCTCCTACTGGATTTGGCCTCTTAGTTAGCTGTGATTAGTTGTATATGTTTCTATCTTGACTTTGTTTGCATTTTATGGATATTTGTTTTGGGTTCTGAAAATGTAAAGTCCTTCCAGTAAGTCTGTCTCTTCCTTTTTCGTATCTTCCTACAGTGCTTTCTTTGCATGGTGCTCTGCACACGGTGACTATCCAGGAAGTGTGTTGGCCTGATTGAAATCAATGAACTGAGACCCTTTCAAGGGGCATCTGGGGGCAGTGAGGCCTTTCATACCTATGTGTGAGACACAAGCCTGAGCCTTTGGTCAATCGGTTTGATTTCCTAAAATTTTGTTCACCCAGTAAGGCCTTGTTGCCAGTTCATAAGTTATGCCCATCAGGGCTGCAGAAGAGGTTATCTTTCTAAGAAGTGTTTGGCCAGTGAAATGACTTATAAGCCTTTTGAAGTGAGAAGCAACTAGATGCTAAATTTGTGCCAGGAATCTCCTCTGACCATATCACATGCTCAAATATTTGCTGAAGTAAAGTATAAAGAAAAGATAAATTTGAGATTTTTTAATAAAAAAGGAAATACTGTGATAGCACTTAAATGGTTTTAGCATTGCTTTTGTTGAAATGTAAATGCATTTTGGTGCTTATGAAACTAAAAGTATGAGTAATAAGAATAAGATAGAAAGAGGAAAAATCATGTAAGCTTTTCTTATATCGCTACTTCACATTTTGCCCATGTTTACGTAGTCCTTCAAACATTTGTATTGGAGAATAAAAGAAGTATTATAGGATGGGTTAGAGAAAAAGACTTTAGTTTAATTTAGCAATATTTGTGGAATACATATTATTGTACATTGTAATAGGCACCATGTAAACCTATATATGTGTTATTTTTTTGTTTTAGCCACCAATTTTTACTCCTTATGAGTAAGTATAATAGCTAGAAATTGTCTTAATTTAAACATTGAGATTCTATTTCGCTACATAGCTTTCCAAGTTTCTTTGGAAGTAATTCTTGGTTCTCATATCATTAGTCAGTGAAGATATAAAGTAGAAAATAAAATCAAATTAATAAATTGCTATTAATAGCTCTCTAATAATTAGTCACTGATATTACTATGAAGAATTAATATATAGGACATCGATATTTTTCACTTGTGAGTTAAATCTGAATGAGAACTTAGGGATCAAATGGGAAAGGATTATGAATTTTATTGTCCATGGAGATAAACAGCTTTATCTATGTTTTGGGGCTAAATTCTTTTTTTTT